AGTGCTCACTAACTCTCATGCTATGGTCTCTGAGCTGTTTGGGTCTTTCTCAACCTTCTGCTTTCCTGTTTGCAGTCTCTCTTTCTGCAGGACGGTGTTTCAGGGAGATTACGTTATCGATATGTTCAGGGTGCACTGCAGGTGTTGAACATAACACGTTTTCACACAGAGCAACAAAGCAAAGCAGAGCAAGGCTTCTGAGGGAAAAGCCTTCAACAAAGAGTCCCGCACATCGCACTGTAACATCTTTTGGAAATGGTCTGATGCAGGTTTTTTCTTACACTTGCCACTGTTCTGTTATAGCACATCCTTCACCACCCAGCATAAAAAGAAATCACATCTTTGCCATCATCAGATGAAAATAGCCCTGTGTGTCACAGGTACAGAAGCATGTTGGCACGTCTCTGTGAGAACTGGCTTGAGCATGCAGACTAAATTATGGGAGAGTTTATGGGCCTATAATGCAATGACGGCGCTGCTGAAACATTAGACGATCAAAGTGACACGTCCCCGTTATCTGCACAGCCAGATAGAAGAACAATAAAAAGTTTAACCGTCAGCAGGTGTGACGACGCGACAATCATAAAGCTGACACCATGCATGACAGGCAATGATCTCACCCTCTTAGTTCATCAGTATTCTGTCTGTTGGCCTATTTCTGACCAAAAACACACACACACTCCTGCTTCTTTTCTGGCTGCAGCAAAGCCTTTGTGAAGCTGAGAGGGACATGTGTGCAATGATGTCATGTTCGGAGGCTGAGCGGGAGGGAGGTGGGGGGGGGGGTTACATTGAAATGCTAATGTCCCCTCATAGTGGAGGGGACAGCTGGAGGGCCACAGAGGGATGGCGTAATGTCTCCCCTCATATGAACCACAGGGGAAAAGCAACAGAGGGGTGCAGGGTGGTCATTCACCCCAATCAATGCCCCCCAGGCTGTTTAGGTGCGTGTGTGTGTGTGTGTGTGTGTGTGTCTATGGAGCTCATTTTCCCCATTAACAGACAAGGTAAAAAAGCTAAGTGAAATCTAAAAAAAACCGCTAAGAGCAGATTGTATTGGCAAGGCAGTCAGTGATGCAGCAGTGGAAATCCCATTAAATATAAATGCCAGGCAGGTGCTGCATGAAATTCTGGTCAGAATCATGATATATTTGGGTATTTATTTGAAATGATGGCGACATTTGCAGCAAAAGATTTTGAATAAATGAACTGAAGACCTTTTTTGACTTTAAATCTATCCCTTGCTGGTTTAGTTGTTCACATCTCTTGCAAAACTAAATCCTGATCTACAAATAAAAGGAACTCGTTATCAAGAGAGTTTACTTCACTGCATCAGTGATAAAGTGAACAGCATTTTATGGTTCTGACCTGCCCAACAGCAATTTTAATTCATTCAGATCTAACATTAGAAGAGCTATAGCAGAAAAACATGTATGTACATTTTATTAACATATTTTTTCTGGCCTTCCTGTCTTGAAGCCGTAAATAATAATTTATATTAGGAGGAGTGGTAAAAATAAATATGAGGAAGCAGTTGCTGTACACACGGTGTTGCTATTTTTTAACAAAGAGAAAATGCGTAAATGTTGTACAACTTCTTATTTTAGGGATTTATATAGTGACAACAGTTAGTGTAACCAAAAACAGCAGTCTGCATGAATTACCTTAATATTGCTGACCCTTAACTGTGACAGGCTATGCAGCCTTCCCGCTGTCTGCTGAAGTGTTGCTCTCTCTCGCTGCCACACAGGATGTACGAGACACATAGATCTCTTTTAATGTGATAGAAAATATGCTTTCCTTTCAGAAACCTTTTTACAGCGTCTTTTTATTTCTTCTGACTTTATTTGTGAACACTTAGCACTGATGCCTAGCTTTTAGTCTTCTGCCCACAGTAAAAACTGACCAAGAAACTTAGTATATTATATTATACTAATATAATATTAATATATTATACTATACTAATATAGAATAATAATCAGTGAGGGCTTGATCCAGCCCCCAGTTTGATTACTAGGCCTCATTGATCTGCTTGATCAGTGAGAGCATGATCAAGCCCTCACTGATTACTATACTAATCAATACCCAGTTTCTTGATTTAACAACAGTGTATATTGATTATCTAATCACATGCAGTGCACAATTTCATTAGTTTTCTTTAGCATGTTAATAAATAATGGGATAATTGTCCTCTAGTTCCATCTATTTTAAAACTAAGACATAGCAATGAGGCTAAAGAAATAGATGATTTACTTTTTTATTTTTATTTTACATTTACAGTCATGCCAATATTTATTGTCTCTTGTCCTGAGTGTCGGGGGTAGAACTGACGAGTAAGTGCCTATTAGAAAGAGAATTTCACAGAAGTGACAAGGAGCAAACAAAGAATCCCTGAGTTCTTGGCTCCAACAGAGGAAGAAAGTTAAATAATCAGTTGCATAAATGATGAAGTGGGCAGAGAGGAACGGAAAAAGGATGCCGATGGCGACACAGTGCCCTCTTTCCTGGTTGTGTGTTTTCCTTCTTGCCAGAACATTTCTTACTTTTTTTTTTTTTTTTTAAACAGTGTGTGTTTAGAACTTGGTTAGTCACATCCTGTCCGGGGTACATTTTCATGACTCCAGCGTGACAACTTTTTCTTCTCGAACAGAGAACACTTGTGTTCGTGTTCTAAATGTGCCGTTGATTTATTTTTGCCTCTCGTCGTGTTGCCGAGTTCAGTGCAGCAGGATGTCAGTTTTCCTCAGTATCACGCTTCATTACGGGTGAACTCATCTCTCTCTGTTTGACTTCTGATGTCATCCGCATGGACAGGGCTTTTTCTATGACTTCATTGTGAGTGTTTGTTTGGATTGGACTGAACACATCACTCTCATGTGGGGACTGTTTAGCCATCTCTCTGGACTTTTTGGGTATCATCATGTCCTTTTCTGTGTTATTTTTTTTTTCATCCTGGCAACAGTCAGAAAGACAAGTTAAGCCAGCTGTCATCAACATCTCTGCCCTCCCTCATTGTCATGGCAGCCTTAAGTAGAGCCTGTTGAGGTGACGAAGTGCCAATAGCATGCTATCTCCTCTGTGACTAACGTCCATTAGAGGCAGCAGTGTAAATCTTTAACCACAGGAAGGTGTTTTGTAATTGACGTAATGCCGCTGTAATGTAATCGCTCCTAAAAAAGCAGCCGAATGGACCCATTCTGGCTCCTTATCTCTGACTCCAATCTTCCTTCATGCCAGTAACCCCTTACTCGCTCCCTCAGTAGCACGCTCTGCTCTTTAAATGTTAATTTAACACGTCTTGGTCTGCTGCACTAATTATTTATCCAAATGCAAATGCACACACTTTCTCCTCAGCCACTCACTATGTGGAACATCCTGTCCACAGACCTTCTAACAACTCTCTAACAATGTCTGCACACAAAGAGGGAAATGGTTGCTCTCTGACGTAAGGTGTTTTTTTTTTCCTTTTTATTTATCTGCCTGCAGGAAAGTAGCATTTCCTCAAACCTCTACATTAGATTCTATTTATTTCTCTATGTATGTATGTTCCATGTCAGAGGTTCTCTGGGAAAAGGTAAACCAGGAAGGAGCCCTTCAAAAAGTATTTCCTCTTTCTGTTTTATCAATTAGAGGGAGGCACTCTGCTACAGGGAGGCCTAAGGCAAATATCTCAACAAATATAGGCTTATCCCAGCATGACAGCCCTCCCTCAGAGTTTACATGAACTTTTTCCACCTAAATCGTTATCTGATCATTCTTTCTGCATCCATCCATCTCTGCGCTCCACCCCCTCTGCCGAGGAAAGCACTGATGTCATCGCTCTGCCGGTTGCCATTAATAGCTGGAAACAGACAGCCCTTCTTCACTTTCCTCTTAAAGGCACAGTGCACCCAGAACAGCACTGGGTCATGATTGTTTCAGGCAGTCCTAATGTGAATATTTATTGTTGATGTTGGAGGACATTTCATACTTTTTTAGGAGATTGCATTGGCCTTTATATCTCTAAATCTGGCTTACAATCAGATCTGCTTGGACAGAGTTCTGTGTGCTTCTTCTGAGCAGTGATGTCATGTCTCATTCACGCTCGCTCTGTGATCATTTGTGTGCATGCGTTTGGCGCTCGCTCTTCCTCCCAGATTGGGTAAGGCAAAGCTGAACGTAGATTAGGTTCTAATTTCCTTCTCTGGGGCTCAAAGTTTTCCTTGAAGCTCTCCGTTTTCCTTTCAGCACTCTGCACCCACTCCTCAACACACACTCTGCTAAGCCCTCACCTTGTTTCCTACCCTGTAGTTATACAACCACACTGCTGCAGAGTAATTATAATTATTATGGGGATATGTGTGTGCGCGTGCAGGCGTACGTGTGTGTGTGTGTGTGTGTGTGTGTGTGTGTGTGTGTGTGTGTGTGTGTGTGTGTGTGTGTGTGTGTGTGTGTGTGTGTGTGTGTGTGTGCATGGTTGTTTTAGGTGGAATAACTATTAAAGCAAGTGAGAGTGAATTCTGAGCATATGTTGAAAACCATGTGCTAGCGTGTGAGTGCATGTGTGTGTGCGCGTGTAAGCGTGTGTGTGTGTGTGTGTGGGTGTCAGTGGGATGTTTCTGGGCCTCTGTCCTGGCCCTGCACCTGTGGCCTCTCTCATTCCCTCAGCCTGACGCAATGCACTGCTACAGGACATGAGCTCATGCAGGAAACAGAGCCACACACATACACATATGCCAAAAGTGGAGCCGCCTGCCTCTTAAAGGGCCAGACGTGCATTCCTGGCCGCCCAGCAGTTAACCCAACTTGCACACAGAAGCACAGAGAGCCTCCTTTCTTTCGCTTCTGTTTCACTAAGCAGGACCCAGACATTATAGCCCAGATTCAGCCTCCAAATCTCTATTGAACGTGTGTCCACGGCACTAATGGTGACTAAAATGGAGTTTCCACTGTGGTATCCGGTCATTCAGTGGAAAATCATGAGTGCACTTAACCGGTTTTTGCCATCTCTGTCTCTGCAGGAGGCTTCGCAGCTTTTTCCTCCTGTTTCCCCGGCCTGTGTGAGGGGAAGCCTGCCACTGCACTCCCAATGAGCTTGTCCCAGCCCTGTTTACCTGTGGCAAATGTAGGACCAACTCGCATCCTGCCACACCTCTACCTGGGTTCACAGAAAGACGTTCTCAACAAGGTGACATTCAATCACCAATTTTGAGGGTGAGATTGGCAGCGTATTCTACCATGCATTGTCTCAAATCTGTTTTTGCCTATCTCTTTAGGATCTGATGTCTCAGAATGGCATCACTTATGTCCTGAATGCCAGCAACACCTGTCCCAAACCGGACTTCATCAGTGAGAGCCATTTCATGCGCATCCCAGTGAACGACAACTACTGCGAAAAACTGCTGCCCTGGCTGGACAAAACAAACGAGTTCATAGGTAGGAGACGGCAGCACATTTAAGCAAGTTTAAACTCAAGGTAGAGATTAGAAACACAATTGTAAACCATGGAGGTGGACTCCTGTCAAATGCTGCGATACTCAAAAACAAACAAACAAAAAAATTCTGTACATTCCTCTAGAGGGTAACATCCAACTCTAATTAGGTCTTAATGCCAACAGTGAAAATGCAGCTTTTCCTACATTTAGACTTTGAACTTAAGACTATAAAATTCAGCCAAGATTTATTATAAATGCTGAAACGGCTACTTAGTAAGCCGACTTTGACAGGTTCTAACTGAACCTTTCAAGGCTAAAAGTTAGCCAATTTGCAGAGCTCACAAAAATCTTGGATTTTGTCATCTTATTCTACCGAGTCCCCAAAATGCTGTCACTGTACTGATTTAAAAGTGGAGAGGGCTTTTGAAATGCTTATGTAACAAAGTGTTGTTGGCCAGCTCAAAGCCTTTATTAGCCAACTGTCAAAACAGCTGAGGAACATCCCAAGAAGTACTTCCTTTCTGCTTCAAAATTTCAAACATAAACAGATGGTGCAAAGTTTAACGCAGTCACCTTCATATGGTGTACTGGGCTTGCGATCATAGCTTACAGTTACTGCACTGGACAATGTCAAAGATAGTGGCATGCTAACAAGTTGGATAGCATTCTGAAAGGTAGACTCTACATTAACAAGAAATAATATCAGAGATTTTCATATTTCAAGTTCTGATGCATCATATTTTTTGTTTTGTCTCCCAGTGCAGAATGTTTTAAAATGTTAGTCTTTAGTTGTCGGCCTCCTTGTTTGTCTTTTGAAAGTTATTGTCCTCTGAATAGGAACCAGAAGAGCCACAACAGCTTTCGACCAGTTTTCACAAAAATCCTTTTTCAAACAATAGACATTTCAAAGGTTTACAGTATTGTATGTGTGAGTATTTCTGTTTTTTTATTTATTTTTTTTGTTACAATCTGTTCGTTTTGCTCTCAACAGACAAAGCTAAGGTGTCAAACTGCAGAGTGATTGTACACTGCCTAGCTGGAATTTCACGATCAGCCACCATCGCCATTGCATACATCATGAAGACAATGGGCTTGTCATCAGATGACGCCTATAGGTATGATTGCCCCTCCCACTCACCTCCAGTTAAGCTAGGGTGTCATCGGTTTTGAAAGGATGAAAGAAGAAGAAATCCCATTTTCATTATGAAATGAAATTGTTGAAGTGGTTGCCAGGTTGCAGTTTGTGCAATAGAGTTTGTTTTTGGCCTTGAAGCACAAAGCATTTATTGCATATTGTGCATCAGTATAATAGAGGCCCCTATCAGACCTCATATAACTTTACACAGGATTTATTGCCGTACTTTGCTTTCAAATAGTTTTCAGACAACTAATCTTTTCAACTCTTTTTTTTTCTGACAGGTTTGTAAAGGACAGGAGGCCGTCCATATCCCCAAACTTTAACTTCCTGGGTCAGTTGCTGGAGTTTGAGAAGGGCCTGCAATTACTACAAGCTTTAACCACAGATGACAAGAAGTCTGAAAACAACTCCAAACAAAGCTCTGAGGTTAATGGGGTCTCTGCTGGTTTTGAGATCAACGGTCACCACAACAGCTGTGACTCATCGGTGGCGGATCCTCACACCCAGACTGAACCCAAGTTACCATCTCCCACTTCCCTCCAGCAGGGCTTTAATGGCCTGCACCTCTCGGCAGAGAGGATTATGGACACTAACCGTCTCAAACGCTCTTTCTCTCTGGACATTAAGTCTGTCTACTCTCCCAGCAGTCCACATTGCCCCAGCATGGCACCCACTCATTCTGAAGACATCCCCAAACTGTGCAAGCTCGACAGCCCTGGAACCGGCACCTCCAACGGCGTCTGCTCCCAGTCACCCGTCCTGGACAGCCCCGGTTCTTTCGATTCACCATTCCCTTCACCGAGCAGCGGGGGTAGCATTGGGGGTTTGGGTGGAAGTGAAGGATTCCATCGATCTGGCACACCCTCATCCAGAACCAGAAGAAAAACTAAGCACAGCTGTGGTAATTCTCCAGTCCACTCCCATCTGCATCATCCCCCCCAATCCCTCAGCTTGTCGCTGGACCACAAGAGCCTCAGCCTGGAAGAAAACCTCAGGGGTTCCCCGCTCCTCTCACTACCCTCCCTGCCATCTTTGGGTTCTGGGGCTATGTGGACCAAACACAGAGACACTGTCCAGGCTACAACTCCCGTCACTCCAGTCACCCCAACCACGGACGCTCCCTGGCATTTTGGAGCAGAAGAAGGTGGTAAGGGAGAAATGGAGCTGGGAGGAGGAGATGGAAGGGGAGAAGAATCATCGGTGCGATTCGGTAGCAGCTCAGCTTATGTGGCGTTTGGATGTAGCGAAGGCGCCAGGTTACGGGACAAATCCCAGAGGGAGAAGCCCTCAGGGTCTCAGACACAGAGGGACCACTGGGATTCCACCTCCACCAGCTCAAGTAACAGTGTTCCTGCATCAGAAAAACAGTTCAAGCGCCGCAGCTGTCAGATGGAGTTCGAGGAGGGCATCTCCGAGACAAGGTCCAGGGAAGAACTGGGGAAAATCGGGAAGCAGTCAAGCTTCTCCGGAAGCATGGAGATCATTGAAGTGTCCTGACAGATAATGGAGCTGGTGAATGCTGTCCCCTGGAGGCAAAAATGGACCTGTTTTAAAGGAGTGCCAGAAGAGGAAAAGTAAGGTGGAGCCAACAAAGTTTTTTTTTTTTTTTTTTCTTTTTTTTTTGCTCCCCTCCACAGACAGTGTTAAAGACTCTACTTGAGGGAAGGACAGATACAAGCTGAGAGTTAATGTGAACAGTTTGCAAACCTGGACTGACAGAGCCTCAGATGTGATGTGTTAGGTAGCCATACTTATTCTGAACTCTTAGAAATTTGAGGAAATCCTGGGGGAAGGGGAGATAAAGCTGTGGCTGTTGGTACTGCAACTTTTTATTTCTGTCATAGGTTAAAAAAAAGATACCACTCCAAGTAAGCATCACGTTGCATCCTGATTATACAAAATTCCCTGATGTTCAGACTCATACTGTTTACCTGTGGTTAAATGTAGTGTGGGCTTCAGTGGGTGTATAGCTTGTGATTTGATCCGAGCCCCATGTTTCGTCCCGAAGCTCCACCCCCTGTGTCCGAGAACCATGCATGGCTACATCCGCCCCACCACCACCTTTCCTCTGTGGTCCGGCCCGCCCCAAAATGCTGCAAAAGAACACCACCAACTGTAGTGAACTCCTTGATAGTACTGTGTCCTCTTACTATCACAGCACAAAGCAGAGAGGTCCAACAGACTTAACATAAAGACGGTACTGCATTCGAATAACGAAGGATCCTCTGTATTTTGTTGAGGAAAAGACTTGTGACCATGGACAGTGTGTCCCTCCAAAGCACAGTGCATCCATCCTGACTTTGGCTCCTTTTGTTTCAAATGTTAACAGCATGATAAGACTGAGGTTTCCGGATCCCGCCAGGCCTTTCCCCACTGAACCTAGCCACCATGGCCAGAAGAGAGCATGCACCTGAAAGGCTGACTACAGACAGACAAATACTATATATATACAATATGAATATATATAGCAATTTTAATGAACTTCTGTTCAGTTATAGTTTTAATTTATTGTACTGCTTCATTCTGGTAATGAGAAATAATATAATGTTTTGTGGATTCTTTTTTTTCTTCTTTTTTTTCCTTTCAGTTGAATTGTTATTATTATTTGCTGTATGGTATTTATGAACACACACTCATTACAAATACACACATTCAACAAAATTCAAGCAAGCAATATGTGCTGTTCCTTTTGTTTGAGAGAGTGACGTATGACTTTGAGATGCACTTTTCTGCTGAGTGATCACCATTCACATCCTGACAACACGATATTCCAAAAGCCAAGTTTTTTGCTTCTGTTTTATAAGACGAAAAGGCACAGAAGTCCCACTGATGAGATCTTTCACCGGACCTCCGTATTGTGAGTTCAGGAGTTTGTCACAAACTGAGGGTCCAATTATGACTTAAAAGACTGTTTCACTCAGCTGCGCGCAGATAAGAAAAAAAGGAGCCTCACAACTCGTTGATTATACTCTTATTTATGGGGAAACAAATGAGCCTGTCTTACAGATGTGGCTGTGAACAAGTATTTGTCCCTCACTTGTTTGTTTTGTTTCTTTCTCTTTTTTTCCCCCTCACACTTAAGTGTTTCTGGTCATCAAAATAGTGATTATATGTGGCAAAGATAACCTCAGTAAATACAAAATCCAGTTTTTTAACAACAGAAAAAGCCATTCAATCAACCTTATGTTTTAAAGAAATACAAACCACCACACCCCCCAAAAAATACATGTTTAAAAAAAGAGAAAAGAATTGCTCCCAAATCCTAATAACTGGTTGGACTACCATCGACAATCCTTTAGGATTTTCTTACATCCTTGACAAAATTCATGGTTCCATTGGTTTCCTCAAGTCGTGCAAAGCAGCCTCAGACCATCTCTCTATCACACAGGTGTCAAACTGCAGTCCTCCAGGGCCACTGCCCTGCAACTTTTAGAAGTGCCTCTGCTGCACCACACCTGAATAGAATAATTAGGTCATTATCAAGGCTCTGGAGGACTTGTCTACACAAGGAGGAGCTGATTACACCATTTATTCCAGTGTTTTGTATCTGTGGCACATCTGAAAACTGCAGGACAGTGGAGCTTGAGGACTGGAGTTTGCAGCCTTTCTGCTTTTGTCTCTTCAGTCTCAGTATAAGAACAGGCCTCTGTAATATTTATGGTCATCAGTTTTCACCATGGAGCTTTCGCTGGATGCCAATTTCCCCACTCTATTCCTTATTTCTCAATGACCTGAGCTTTAGAGGTTCTTCTGTGGTTAATGATCCATATTGATCTTTGCTGGACTAGAAAAATGTGGACATGACCGTCCACCTGGTAGCGACAAGTGACTCATGATTTGACAGAAGGATTGTGTTTTCTGTTTGGGCCAGGTGAGCACAGGCAGATTTTTCCGCCTCAACAGATAAAGTCAAAATCGCAACCTGCTTTTTTTTTTTTTTTTTACTCTGGTTGTCTTTGTCTGCTATATGTTTCTTGATACTATAAAATATGTAAGTGTGAGGAGAAACGCGGAAACAAAAATAATGTGCGAGGAGCCAATAGTTTTTCTCATCATATGCTAACAGCAGTACGCTGTCACGGTTTTCAGACCTTCTCTGAGCCAGTGACGCTCGCAGCTGAACCTGTACATCCGTGGCACACTGTACGCCCCTCTCACTTTCAGTATATCCACACATGAATCCACACATGAATCCCGACACGCACCCTTTCGTTCATTCTCAGGGGATCTTTTGGTGAGCCAGGCCCAACACAGGGTACACAGCTGCTGGTACATCAGCACAATGCATGTCCATGAAGCACCCTCTCTCTCTTCCTCTACTTTTTATCTGTTTTTACAATAATTTTTAAATTTCCAAAGCTTTGATCACAAGAGCATAACACAATGAACAGGGGAAAAAAAAAAAATCGGGCTCTTCATATTTTGAGGTAGAAGGAAAGGAAATAAATGAGCTCTCCTGGTGTGAGAAGGTTATTTATTTGTGATGTAAAATGTGTTTGATATTTTTCTTTTGACCCTGGATTAGCTTTACTGTCTGGCAATCTCTGACTTCTTGACCTTATGCTGCTACAGCTACGAGTTCAGATAAGTCATGTGTTTCCTGAAGAACCTTTTTTCACCTTACTCCCCATATTTTTAAGAATTGTTATTTATGCTATGTAACAAGAATGATGCAGGCTGTCCCCTTTGCTACATTATTATTATTATTATTGTTATTGTTATTATTATTATCATTATTGTTGTTGTACATAGCAACGCATCTAAGAACACTGATAAATTTAGACAAGTTTTTAAAATAAAATCCTGATACCTTAGGCTGCTTGATGCAAAAATACCTCAGGTTCTATTGAAAGGCTTTTCCTTCCCCTGTATATGTTTTGTGAAAATGAGACAAAAATACAGACATGACAAAATACATACCTCTTGTCTGCTTCATTTTCTTGTGTGTTTGCATAAATGGGAGCCCGAACAGATGTGGAGCAGCGCAAAAACCACAGCAAGGCAACCGGACACTGGGAAGTAGTTACTGATTTTGTGTTGAACGATCTCCACACGGACCACACGACAAAGTTAATGATTTCTCTTTTTCCAACATTGTCATTTTTATTTCTGTTTTCCAATAGGCTTCGGAATTTAGGTTTGATTTTGTGTTCATTTTCATACAAATATTGCGTCGTAAATCATTTCTCACAAAGTGGAAATATCCTGGGTTTAAGCTAATCTCAAATGAGATTATGTTGGGGAGACATAACCCAGTATTCAATAACACATGGAACAAAGATATTCACATATAAAAACCTTTTTTTTCCCCCCTCATAAAATCACTCGAAGTGGACTGAGGCGAAGTAAAAACTGATCTTCCTGTCGTGCTTGAAGCAGGCCTCACAATTGCAAAATTCACTTTTTTAAAGTTCACTTGGAACCAATGCTTTTTTTCGTAAGACCTTCGACAAAGGACATTTTATCTTTCTCCCCGAAGGAGAGCGTTGAGTCGTTGGCAGCAGCTGATGCTCTCCTCCAGGACGATGTCACGGCTAAACAGAATACCAGAGCAGATGTAGGGTCCAAAAAGAGCAACAAAAACAGAGAGAAAATAGGCAAAAGTTGAACTAATAGCAGGTTATGTTAAAAAATAAAAAATAAATGTGTTAAAAATGAGCTGATCTCTGTTTAAACTGGTACATAAAACTAGATAGCCTGTCCTCTTTTTTTTCATTTATTTTGCAACAAAACAACTGAAATTTCATAGGCATTTGCTGCATCTCACCACTTTAGGTTCACAGGCTCCTCCTTGACAAGCCCTCAATTCCCAAACTGTTTAGCCTTGAAGGTTTGAGGATGTTTGAGTCGGTTATACCCATTTCAAATTCTTGGACACCATATTTCTTACGCTACTCTACAACAATATAACAATATAAAGATATTTTTCTGTGTGGCAGGTTAATATTAACAGATTCTGTTAATATTAGGGGTTTCTTCTAACAAGAAACCCCTGAAAAATATTTGTCTTTTATTTTTGGATTGTAGTCTATGATTCTGACCCTTTTAAGAGCACTTAGTTTTAGAAATTACTTGGGCCGATTGTGAAGCTATCGACTCAATTTTCAAAGGACATGCTTTCTAAACCAAGTTTCTAAAACGTGAAAGCCTTTCAGCGTTGTTTTGTGTAACAAAGCTGGAATAAAAGCTCCAGCACCGAACTGTACAGAACTAGAAAATGTCTCCCTGCAAAGCGTAAAAGGATTTAGGAGGAGATTAAACAAGTAGTGATAAGGGGACCACAAGCCGGACTTGTAAAAACACAGGAAGTCATAAATGTGCAACCCTCACCATGAGGGGCTGCGATGTGACTCACACGCCATTACCTGTTTCTGCTTTTTGTGTTGTCTTTTAAAGTCGACCTGCTTTTGGCCGCTCTGAGCAATTCAGCCCTCTGCTCCCATCATCTGCTACTGCGCTGCCATAGAAATGGACAACTTAGCCATTTGGCGTTTGTGTGAAAAAGCACCGTCTTGGTAAAAGCTTCGAAATAGAAAAATGGTCAAAATGCCTTCTGCGCGTGTTAAAAGCAGCAGAAAGTCTCCCGTCGTTTTACTGATCTGACTTCTGCCCGTTGAGGCTGTGGATGGAGCTGTTTGGCGACCAGCGAGAAGCTGCCAAAGAGGTCCAGGTGAGAGGATGAGTGTTTTATTGCAACTGCCTCGGCCACTCGGCCACTCGGCCACTCCCAATGGCCATTGTTTCCACTGAGAGGGAACCTGACATCAAAGGCAGTTTTGGTTTTATTTCAACACACACAAGATTGTGATGTTTAAGTCTACTTGCACTTTCAGAGGCCCCTCAGAAGCATCACTGTTTGATATGAGGGGGACGTGTTTCGTCACATCCAGTGATTATTTTGCAAAAAAATAAAATAAAAAATCATTCTTGACCAAGCTTGCTGAACGTTTAGATATTTTTTTTATTATTTAATAGAAATATGGCCATTTTTGTTTGTTTTCCTTCGGGGAAAAAAATAATAACTTTGGTTGTTGGATTTTAAGAAAGAACCATTTTACATTGGATGTAATTCAGATCACCTTATAATTCACCATGTGAATTCTTAGGATCCACATGATAGGGGTGGATCTGACTCGGACACTATTGTACTGAAATGTCCCCAAACGTTTTAACAGCACCGATACACTGGCGTGTCTGACGAGATTCGTAACAAATACAATTTGCGGCAGAAATGACCAACGAGAAGGCAGAGCACCAGCTGCAGTTTCTCCCAGTTCATTCACCGTTTAGTGTTTTTGTACTTCCATTCATTCTATACTGGGTCACGATCAGATAAGTCTCCAGATGTTCTCACAGCTGTCTCATCGATGTGCTTCTGTGGGGGATGTATTTGAAGAGCGCTTACCTCCACGAGCTGAGAACGGGATGAGGTAGAGGTTTTTATTTTGGCTAGAACAACAGGGGAGGTGTTTTCCCCCCAAGAGGATGCAGTTGCATACCTCAACGTTAAAAATAAATCCATCCAGATCCAGCAGGGTGAGTAGGGTCACTTCGTCCTCAGAGAGGGAACCTGGCTTCAAAGGCAGCTTTGGTTTCATGAAGTCATGGTGGAATTTCTCCTTGTGCTATCAAACAGCATCTCTCTCCAAATAAAGCCACGTTTCTAAAAGCGCCCGGATCTGGGACTGCTGGCTGCTGTTAGGGGGAGAGATGTTTACAGGTGGTAGCTGTGAAAAGACTTCTGCAGTGATCTTCCCAGCTTCATGTCAGGGTTCCTCACCAGGATCTCACCCGTGTATAATTTGTTCCTTCTTTAAATGTTTGTTTGTCGGACTGGGTTCTTATGTAAAAGTGGCCTCGGCTTGTGCTGCATGAATCTACATCTCAAGAAAAACATTCTTCATCTTCAGTCTCTCTCTGTTGAGTTGCAGCTTTTTGTTTCTGAACAGGGTTCTTGTTGTTAATAGGTTTCCTAATCATTTTTCCATATGTATTTTGAAGTTTAGCTTGTAGTCTTTCATATTTTTACAGCATCCTGGCCTTCTTTGAATGGATGGTTGGTTTAGGAAAAAAAAACTGAGTCGAAAACATCCCTTAAAGATTTTGGTCCATACGGAAATGATGATGTCGTGCAGATTCTGCATTTCTTTTTTGTTTAGTTTGTGTTCAGTTGGCACTTAGCGCCCAAAGTTCACCAATTCATGTCCCACACGCAATTATGGGTGTGGGACTACACGGTTGATAGAAGCCAGGACTGATGCATCATGTTGAAACTTATCGGGCTGCGCAAAAAATATTTGCAGCATTGTGGCGTTTCTGGCGAGGCTTGGAGCTTCAGTTTCCTGTTCTTAGCCAACATGAGAGAAACCCTGTATGGTCTTCTGCTGATGCAACACATCTGCTTGGAGGCTTGACGTGTTGTGCATTCAGAGACGACTGTGGCAAGTGGTTATTTGAGCCGCTGTCGCTTTTCTTTCATCTGCTGAAACTCTGACATCAATAGGGAAATGCAAACCACAGCACCAGCCCTTGATTGATTTCTCCGTTGTTTTTCTTTTTTTAATGGAGCGTTCCACATAAATCCACGATACGGTTGTGCATAAAATTTCCAGATTTCCGGCAGTTTCTGACATATCCAAGCCAGTTTGTATGGCACCAAAAACGTGCCCAATTCAAACTCCTTTAAATCCAATTTTTTTAATATTCTGTTGTTGCTCTGCTGAAAAACACCAGAAAATCCCTTTGACCGTGTGTGTTTCCCTAAATGCATTGTGCCGCTGTGCTGTTTTGCTTACACCTCGTTTTCAGATTATAAGCACATAACAAATCTGGAGTTTTGTATTGCTGCCATGTATCTTGGTGTTTCGTGACAAAGAACCAAACAGGTGAAGCAAATGTCATTGGAAGCATCTTCAGGGTTTTTTTTTTTTTTTTTTCCTTTTTCACCATCATGTCTGCAAATCTTAACAATGCTACAATGCATTCCAGAAAGCTGCTAAATTGCTTGTTAGTTCGGTTGGCAACTTTATTTGTGCGTACATAATTAGACATATATTATTCTGGCATTAAAGTTTAGCTGAACTGTATGAAAATATGTTTTACAAATGTAACCTTGTCAGAAAGCATGCGTGTGTGCGTGTGTGTGTGTGCATGTGTGTGTGTGTGTGGGGGGGGGGGGGGGTGTGTATGTGTGTGTGTGTGCGTGCCTGTGGGGGTGTGGGTGTGTGTGTGTGTGTGTGTGTGCGTGCCTGTGGGGGTGTGTGTGGGTGTGTGTGTGTGTGTGTGTGTGTGGGGGTGTGTGTGTGTGTGTGTGTGTGTGTGGGTGTCGGTGTACATGCTCCCTCTCTCTCAGAGGCTGATGGGTACCAGACGTATGTGAAGGGCTGCCTGGCGCCTGCTCCCAGGCCTTTTATATGGAAACAGTTAGGAACCGTTACGTCAGCAAGCTACGGCATTCTTTCTCCGCTTTTCCACTCGCACAGGCACTTACCTATCATTACCGCACATACTTTCTTTCTTCTTTCTTCCTCTTTTCTCAGCATGCCGCCTCTTTTCAACTGCTTTAATGTCAAACACACTCTCATTACACACGCTCGCTGCTCGAAAGTTGCGTCAGCATAGCATTCCACACGTCATTCAGGGTGACTGATGCCAAACAGCATTTCTTGGTCATTTCCTCTCCCCCCCCTCCATCTACCAACCCCTTGTCCCAATATAACCTTTTTTTTATCCTGTAGCCTGGCAACTTTTTTTGTTATTGTTACTCTGTGTCTCGGTGCATCTTAATCATCTGACACCCAGCTGAGACAGGGTGACATTTCATGCACAGCACTGTGCAGCTAATACATCTATTCTTGCAGTAGCATAATCTCATGTCGAATGCTAAAAGCTCCGTCTATCTAACCTTATCTCAGGGA